ACCACACACGGAACAAATCAGTAAACTAGTTTAATATAAAAAAGGGGGTTATATGGGGACTACCCCTAAAAAGCGGTGAATATTAATAATTTTTGGTGGGGAGATTTGTTACCATATACGACTACAAATTACCAAATTTCAGCGAATTCGGTTGAAAAACGCGCTCAAGAACCTCAAAATATCGAAAATCGGGGGTACCCTTATATGGGGGCTACCCGAAAAAAATGACCTATATTTATAATTTTTTGTGAAGAGATTTGCTACCCAATAAGAACTCAAATTACTAAATTATAGTCAATTAGGTGAAAAAATCCGGTCAAAACCCCCCAAAAACTGGAAATTGGGAGGTACCCTTATATGGGGGCTACCAGAAAAAGTGGACCTATATTTATAATTTTTAGAGGGGAAATTTGGTACCCAATAAGAACCCCATGTACCAAATTTCAGCGAATTCGGTTGAAAACCGCGCTCAAGATCCCTAAAATACCGAATATTGGGGGGTACCCTTATATGGGCGCTACCCGAAAAAATTTACCTATATTTATAATTTTTAGTACAAAGATTTGCTACCCAATAAGAACTCAAAGTACCGAATTTCAGCCAATTCGGTGAAAAAATACGGTCAGAACCCCCCAAAAACTGGATATGGGGAGGTACCCTTATATGGGGGCTACCAGAAAAAGTGGACCTATATATATAATTTTTAGTAGGGATATTTGGTACCCAATAAGAACCCAATGTACCAAATTTCAGCTAATTCGGTTGAAAAACGCGCTCAAGAACCTCAAAATACCGAAAATTAGGAGGTACCGTTATATGGGCGCTACCAGAAAAAGTGAACCTACACTAATAATTTTTTGTGGAGGCATTTAGTACTCAATAAGAACCCAATGTACCAAATTCCAGCGAATTCGGTTGAAAAACACGCTTAAGAACTTCAAAATACCGAAAAATGGGAGGTACCCTTATATGGGAGCTATGCCTAAACGTGGACCGATATAGCCCATCATCGAACTTGACCTGCCTGCAGACAAAAGACGACTCTATGCAAAATTCGTTTAGACGCTAGAGTGATTACAACAGACAGACGGACAGACGGACATGTTTAGATCGTCATAGAATTTTACGCTGATCAAGAATATATATACTTTATAGGGTCGGAAATGATTATTTCGATGCGTTACAAACGGAAAAACAAAACTAATATACCCTCCATACTATGGTGGAGGGTATAAAAATCTTTAAGGGGACCCCCTCCCCCATTCTGGGGGTCAAATTTTTTTTATTTAATTCAATTCTACACTAATTCAAGAAAGTCTCTACAAAAATTCAAATGAAAATCTCAAGAACTCTTGAAGATATAGCCGATTTATTGTGTAAGCATCAAGTGACGGCTAAAGGGCTTCTCAAACTTTAATCGCGTTTTTCTCTTTTGCGAATGGCGGGCACGATAACTCAAAAACTAATAACCCAATCGATTCCAAATTTTTACACATTTCTCTGTGAGTGTATAGCTATCGTATGAACTAGGATAAAGCCAATCGGTGAAGATCTTCCTTATTTTTCAACTTGGTTCGTGGTCAAAAATCGGCGATTTTTTCAAAAATATTTTTTCAATGGTCCGCCATTTTGTTAATTTTAGAGCGAAGTCAATAATCCTAGTTCATACGAGAGCCAGACATGTACTCTTTCTAACACCGTTGGAATTTTCGGATTCCGATGTTCCAGTGAGGAGTTATCATGCCCGCCATCAAAAATAAGGACTTTTCTTTAATTACAAAAAACAACAACAAAACAATGACAACAATTTTTTGTAAATTATTTTTCTTCTCTTTTAAATCTTCAAATATATATGTGCAAAGTTACAAACCTTAACAAGCATTGGTATTGATTTACCAGCCCATTGAAAATCTTGAAAAATTAAAATAGAGAATGGGTGGCTCAAGTTTTCTCCCCCTTATTTGAATATCGGAGATTTGTGCACGTAATTTGATATTTTGGGTTCTCAGTGTGTAGAAAATCTTCCTTCTAAAAATTATTAGTATTAACCCGTTTTTTTGGAGTAGCCTAAATATTAGGTTTTCTTATGCTTTTGAAGACGTTTTTTAAATCAATCTGCTGCAATCTGGGTTGAAAATCTTCCTACTAAAAATTGTCCACATTTTAACGCTACACCCCATCATACGGTAATGGCGAGGGTTTAGCTACGTTTTCCTAACGAATTGGCTCTAATTTGATTTTTCCCGTTCTCAATCCAATCTTGCTGCCAAAAATTATAAAAAAATCGTTTTCGGTTTGTAATAGCTCCAACGTAACGGTATTGACCAATTTTATATTTTGAAGGGTTCGTGAAGGTATACATACATGCTAAAAAAATAATTTAAGTAGGCCATGTTTTGATATATCCCCCATATAATGGTAACACCCTAAGGCCAGCATTTTAAAGGTTTTAGCTACATTCTCCCATTCTAGTGGATGTAATTTGGACTTCAAGGATATTGGAGGGTAAAATAAATTTTTGGAAAAAAATCTTTTTATATCAAGTGTTTGTATTATTAATGTTTTAACAGGATTTTCTCATCGAAGTGGCTATTATTTGGCATATCGGTGAAGAACTTCCTTCCAGAAAATTATCAAGGTTTAAAGGTTATATCCCAGGTTGAAGGTTATATCCGCATTCTCACTTTGATGTGACTTCAACTAACTGTATAGGGTAAAAGAAATTTATTATCTACACAGGTCTATATATGTGGACATAGCCCCAATATAAAGGCTCTGTCCCATTTACGGAATTTGAAGGTTGTAGAAGGGGATGTAATTTGAAACAAATGTTTGCCCCCATGAAGGTGGCTACAATTTGGCATTCCGGATTGCTGACGAATAAAAAAGTTAAAAAAAAGTGTCAGTCGGAGTTGCCGACAGACATATACCCTACATATATACACCATAAAATTTTCATTTTATGGCGTATATATTAACTTCCGAAGGACATAGACTGCATAATTTGTAGTATATCCACACAAATTCTTGCATTTAGTCGTACGTAAATATTTAAAGGGAATTACGTATTATGATATTGTTTAGTATTACCATTATTACACTAGACCGCCAGACCAAACTCCCACTTTACAAGACGCTGATACTACCCGTGCTTATTATATGGTTCAGAAGCATGGGTACTTGCGCCATCAGATGAGGCAGCTCTTGGGGTGTTTGAAAGAAAAATTCTCCGAAAGATCTACGGCCGATCTGCATCGACGGTGAATATCGGCGTCGAATGAACCACGAGCTTTACAATTTATACGCGGACATCGACATAGTCAGTCGTATTGAGCTGCAGCGACTACGGTGGCTAGGCCATGTTGTGCGGATGAATGAGAATGCCCCAACCCAAAAGCCTACTGATGGTTCCCGTAGAAGGGGAAGGCCACGAAATCGATGAAAATACCAAGTAGAAAATATCATCTTGGAACGTGGTCTTCAAATTGGTGGATTTGCGCACAAGACCGACGCGCTTGAAAATTTTTTTAAGCTCAGCTTATGGAACAACCGTTCTGTAACAAGCCAGCTAAGAAAGTAAGTAAACATGGAAATAAAGTGTAGTGTATCACTGAGAAATGTCCATTTTACGTTCCTGGGAATCAGTCGCTCTATAACTAGTTTTGGCAATGGAAAAACGACAATTAGGTTAGAAGTACTTCTTCCACAAATAAAATTCTTAGGATTTGACTCGATCGGTCGGTTATTTTTTAATTTTGATATCATAATTTCATCACCTTTGTTGATCATACAAATGACTTTTGAAGCACCGCTCTAATAGACTCGAGCATACGAGGTATAGGGTATCACACAGCCGTTCCCGACTGACGTGTCCCTTTGGAGCAGATTAGCTAATTTCAGCTAGTTAAGTATCACCTCTTATTTGTCTTAATGAGCCTTTACTTTTTTCAGTCATTCATTATTATGTTTTTTTTTTTTCAATCCAACCTAAGTTACAAGTCCCTAACCAAAACCTTTCATTATAACAATAAACAGCAATCAATGTATTTGCAACGCCCATTCATATTTACTGACCTCAAAACTATTTCCATTTTATTTATATCCCTCAATAATACCAAAAAAATAAAAACCTCCATGCTTTGCCAATATTTTCATTTATCTGTTACGCCTTCTCCAGGCCACAATTCACAAACTAGGAAGTGAATATCATAGTTTGTGATATTCTTGCAAAACTACAAATTACACCCATGGGGGGTGTTAGAATTTCAAGGTGTTTACTTTTCGTATTTTGCCGTTCCCATAACAGACCACAGCAGTTGTCACTGCAGCCAGCCAGAAGTGCCCACTCACGTTTACCTTGGTTATATACAAACAGTTCCACTTTATCATTTTTATGCTTTGCAAAATGTGTTAATTGCTAACTTGAGTACCGTGTTTCATTTTGTTGTTGTTGCAGTGGGTTTCGACTTGCCGCAGATTTCATATTTTAGCCAGTTTCAGCTTTTTGTTTTCCATGCGGTTTTTTTTTTTTTTTTTTTTTTTTTGTGGGGTAGACACCTTAAGTTGTCACTGTCCTTCTTCTTGTAGAAACCTAACTAAGTTGTAGACTTTTCATGGAAATTCAAATAAAAGTGAAGTCCTAGGAAAATGCTCGCAATGGCACTCGTCTAAAATGCGGCAGTTGTTCAGCAGTCGCACTTGTGGTAGTGCATTTTGCAGTTGTAGTTGCTAGCCCAATGCAAAAAATCTTAATGTTTTGAACTTATAACTATGGCGACAACTAACTCCCAAAGAATGAGTGAACAAGTGCGACAGGGAAGTGAGTTAGTAAGTGTATGAGTGTGTGTGTGCAAGCTCACCTTCTGCTAAGATTTTAGTTGCAAATAATTTGAATTTTATCCTAGACTCATTGCCGTATTTCCCTCTACTAACAATTCACAATTTTTGTGGTATTTTTTTGTGTCGTTTTTTTTTTTCTTTTTTATATTTTTTTTACACAGCACGGATACTGCGGAATCGTGGAGATTTGCAAATTCTGATGTCATTCCAGCAACCGGTATTATGGTCTTTGGTAAGTACAAGGTTATCGTGAAGAATTATGTAACAAGTGATAGCTGAAATGCAGATGCCTATTGTTGCAACATTTTTATGGGATATTGTAATATTTTTGGGGGGTTATCGATGAGAGGAAGGTGGCATTTGGTCGTTAAAATTTTAAATTGTGAACATCTTGAAATCATCTTCAGAAAATCATATGAGAATGAACATTTATAAATGGGTATAGGAAATACATTAATCGAAGTAATGGTGAATACTGTGAATAATACGAAGGAAAGAAAGGGTGGCATTAAAACTAGGAAATAAATGCTGATGGCTGATTCGCTACATATAATCGGGCGGGGTAGACAATACCATACCCTATAAATTGGACAAAAGCAATTGGACAATTTAGATTTCTTTTAGATTGTATGATTGATGTATGTGGGTTGTTTTGGAAATTTGTACTTATGTGTACTAAATTTGGTACAAGCCTGAAATTTGGAAATAAGACATTATTTTGATTGTACAATTGGGTTATGTGGGTAGCTTTGGAACTGCTACTTCGGTTTACTAAAGGTACTAAATTTTAGTACAAATTAGGTTTGGATAAACCGATACATGTGGAATCCTGAAATTTGGAATTAAGATTACTGTTGAGAATTGTAGAATTGGGATATGAAGGTAGTTTTGGAAATAATTACTATAAAGCATAATAAATGGTATACAATTTACTAGAAAAAGTAATAAATGGTACAACATTTAGTATTGTATGTACGGATAAATTTTTGAATTTTGGTGTTGGTATGGAAAGTAAAAAACAACAAATTTTTTGTCCGAATGTTCCAGAAATCGCTAGAATTAGTAAATATCAAAAAATATTTCTTAAAATGAATACATATTGGAAGTAATAACTCAAAAGATGGGAATTAACCATAGGTATACTGAAAGTTACATGAAATGAAAATATAGGAAACATACCAAAAATTGGACTTATACCGACAATCCTACAAACCGATTTATGCAAAACATTATGTACACCAAATACAAATTTCAGCGACTTTAAGTGGAGATTTTTCCTAAAAACTGAAAACCCCAAACCGTGGACCGATATTGATAACGCATGCTAGAGTGGAACATGTGTATAAAATTCCCAAACTACTGCAATTTAGAGGCTAATGGGGGACCAATATGGACTACTTAGGTATTAGCAGATATTGAGGTTATTATTATATGACGGGCCATGCCTAATTCATAATAGCTTAATTTCAAACCCAATATTTTAGTTTTGTATTTTATCACGATATCCATAGAAGGCGGAATGATTACAAAATATGGCTAAATCTTCTTAGAATTCCATACTTTGTAGGATAAAAATTGACAATTTCGAGTAACGAATATCTTCCATACTATGGGGACAACCCCAATACATTGAACAAATCAGTTAATTATATTAATATAAACCAGTAAAGAAAGTTTAAAAGTCGGACGGGGCCGACTATATGATACCCTTCACCACTTTGGGTATATTCTACATATGTTGCCTAACAGACGCCACCTTTCAAATCGAAAGATGTATAGGGACTTTGGTGCACCATTTACTTTAAATCGGACGAAAATATATATGGGAGCTATATCTAAGTCCGAACCGATTTTCACGAAAGTTAACACACATCATTCTAGACTCAATTCAGTACGCCATGCCAAATTTCGAGCAAATCAAAAGACATATATAAACTTTGGTACACCATTTACATTAAATCGAACGAAAATAAATATATGGGAGCTATATCTAAATCCAAACCGATTTTCACGAAACTTAGCATACATCATTATAGACACAGTAAAGTACGCTGTGTTAAATTTCATGCAAATTGAAAAATATATAGGGACTTTGGTGCGCCATTTCTAGTAAATCGGACGAAAATATATATGGGAGCTATATCTATATCCGAACCGATTTTCACGAAACTTACAACACTTCATTATAGACTCAATTCAGTACGCTGAGCCAAATTTCGTGCAAATCGAAAGAAATATAGGGTCTTTGTGCTCCATTTACATTAAATCCGACGAAAATATATCGCTCATTTGCTGCAAGACAGGCATAACTCAAAAAACGTGATTTTCGAGTTAATGATGCACGATTGTTCGCTATAATAGACCTCATGTTGTGTTAAAAGAAATTCGTAAAAATTCGTATTCTTTTACACACTCAAATTGAGAAGCTGTAGAAGTTCCTCTGTCCCATATAAAGTGTGAGTAAATTGAAAACTTCTCTTCAAAATCGTTTTTTTTTTGCGTTATACCTGTCATGCAGCAAATGAGCGATATATGGGAGCCTTATCCAAATCTGAACCGCATTTTTTTTCAATTTCAATTTGTCCTTGGGAAAAACAAATGAGCTGTGCCAAATTTCGCAAACGTGCACAGGAACCCCAAAATACCGAAAATTGAAGGGTACCCTTATATAGGGGCTACCCGAAAAATTGAACTTTATTTATTCTTTTCTTTTGTGAAGAGATTTGGTAGCCAATAGTAACTCAATGTACTAAATTACAGCCAGCTCAGTCGGAAAATACGCTCAAAACCCCAAAAATAGTGAAAAGTGGGGGTACCGTTATATGTATCTATATTTATAATTTTAATTGGGGAAATTTTGTACACAATAAGAACCAAATATACCGAATTTCAGCGAATTCAGTTGAAAAACGCTCTCAAGAACCCCAAAATACCGAACATTTTGGGGTACCTGTATATGGGAGCTATGCCTAAACGTGAACCGATATAGCCCATATTCGAACTTGACTTGCCTGCAGGCAAAGGACGACTCTATGCAAAATTTTGGAGATTTATCTCAATTCGTTTAGAGGGTAGAGTGACTACAACAGACGGACGGAAAGACGGGTATGCTTAGATCGTCATAGAATTTTACCATGGTTGGGAAATTATTATTTCGGTGAGTTATAAACGAAAAAATCATAATATACCCTCCATACTATGGTGTAGGGTATAATACCACATACAGGAACGGGTAGACAAAGCCCACAGTTGGTGGTCCTTCTGTAGAATAGCTGTAGAATGTTAATAGGGGTTTTAATCCACAGATGATACGCGGGATCTATAAGAGCGTTATTAGACCAATCCTAACATGCGCGTCGGTAGTCTGGTGAACAGGAATGAGCAAAAGATGTACTCGTAATGAAAATTCGTTACCGAAAGTCCAGAACACATGCTGCCATGGTATATGAACATTTCCTGTGCCACTTGTCCTTTTCAAGCTTCAGAGCCAAATTCCTAGGAAATTACACCTTTCGTGAATGGGAAAAACTGAAAGACCAGAAGGAGTGGACCAATGTGTCCCAATTTCGACTGAAATCACAGCTGAGAATTTGGTGTTGAAAAAAACGAAATTTCAAATTGACGGTAATTTGGTATTTCTTGTTCTTGGAGGCTAACATTCACCTTACTAGAAAAAATGTCAATTTAAATTCATGGAAATGACCAGACTCAGTTTTGATCAGGAAGGGTTCGGTCCAATGAAGACTCTTATTGTTTTTGGTAAATATCGGTTAATATTTAGGGGAAGAAATGCACCAAATACTTAATTTTTGCGGGTTTTTTTTGGTCGCTTCAGAGACCGCAATTATGGCCTAAACATATCGAATTTTTGAATGGAGAAGGGGATTGGGCCAATGAATTAGCATGACTGTTTTGATAAAGGTCAATATTTAGCGGGTCAAATGGACCCTGACTTTTGTGTGAAAAATTACAAAATTTGTATTCGAGAAGTTGATAGTATATCCAATTATATTGTCGTATGTACTCGGATGTGGGAGTTACACGTAAATAATTACAGGATCTTTCGTATTCAGATATTATTTAATAGTCCACTACCACACTAGAGGGCGGAAATATAGCGCGGATCGCTTTGAAATGTTCCAGTTATTGTCAAGGACAACGCCTATAATTTTCGGGTATAATCAGATAATAAAATTGGGATGAAGTGGACCGAAAACTTAATGTGTTGTGTTTTTTTTCGAGTCGATCTATAGGACGCAATTGAAAGCCGAACATCACAACACATGTTCGAATATGGGAATATGGACAAGTAATTAGAAGGGATGTTCTGAATATTGGTAATATTCGGAAAATATGTCAGTGTAAGGAAGAGGTGCTGTTGACCTCTTATCGGGCAAGAGGGTGCAACTATAGAAGAAAGATTAAGTTTTGGGGTTGTTGTGTAGGGTATCGTATGGTCGGCCCCGTCCGACTATACTACTCCGCTCACTGGTTTTTAATGTTTATGTACCGGAACACTAACGCTTTTTAAAATTTGGTGACTTTTTGTACCACATAGAACTACGTTTATTAATCATAGTAGCTGCTTCCCCCCTCTTTCATTCCCCGTATTCACATGTGCAGTATAGGAACAGCCTAAAATCGGTCATTTTGACCATTTGAGAAATATTAAATAATCAAACTACTTTTATTATTGTATAAAGTAAATTTCTTATATGACTAGATCAATTCAACAACATCGAAAACCATTTGCTACTCTAGAAACACAAACGAACACAAAAATCGGGAAAAATAAATTTTATATTGCCAGTCGATTTCAGTCTTAGAGTAAACACTTACTCTTTTTCAAACATTTTGTCCACGCTTTTATTTTTCAAAAAGGGAAACTCGAGAGTCCTCAAACCGAAAACAAATAATAAGAACGTTTTGTGTGATTGAAAATAATGTAAAAAATATTAAAAAATAAGTTTAAAAAAAATTCTTTACAAAATAAAAATTCTTTCAGAATGATATATATACAAAATTCCAGCCTTTCTAGTGTTAATATAGATCCAGGTCTCCAACATAATTTTGTGATTTCCGTATTTAATGTAAGTTTTTCAGAATAGTGTTTATAATTTTCCAAGTATAATTCACTCTACCAATATGATTTTATGAAATCTTAAAATAATTTCATGCTTTTAAATTATCGACAAGTGAATGTAATCAATGTTTTATAACAGAAAACTCTCCGTTATTTACGAGCTCTGTTTATGGCCATTTAGATTTTACTACTTATAATAAAACTATAAATATGGCTTCACAATATACTATAGAAACAACTTTCACTCTCATACAACCTTCAAACCGTTTTCCATATACATTTATGATTTTCGTTTACTATTTCTTAATGTATCGACAATAAAAAGCAAACAAAATGAAATATCGAATTCTGGACAGTTTTGTGGAAAATGATTTGTGATTTATATCTGTTCACTTTATAGCATTCATGTGTCACCACAATACATTTCTGGTATATCAATCAATGCGTGAAGCCACCATGGAGCGCTGGGAAAAGGTAACCCATATATCAATTGGTTTTGCCTGGACAGTGGCAGCTCTCTTTGGAATTGCTGGCTATTCAACATTTAGGGCTTTATCGCAAGGTAAGTGTTTTCTTATATTGCTTTCTTTGGTCTTTAATGGCAAATGTTTTTATGTGTGTGTTTGTATATATCACTTTGTGTATATGTATATAGTTCATATTAAATGTGTCCGCCACAAATATTCCTTAGTTCGTGTTCAAGTGTGTGTATGCGTGGGCGTGTGTGTGTGTGAACATTCAAGAAGTTTGAGGTTATTATATGTCGCCCAGAATGTCGGCGCTTTACAATCCTTGTGTGAAATGAAGTAAAGCCGATATGAAGTGTGCACAAAACCATATATGTACTTGTCCTTAGCACACACAGTTTTAGTTAAACATACATACTCACACGCACACTGCACTCCTACACACGTCTGAGAATATTTAAAATACTATGTATGTGTTTATTATAAATACCAGCACCAGCATAACTACACGCAATTAACCCACACTCCTGTCGCATAAGCACTTTTACAAACTCACAGTTTAATTGATTGGAAAGAAATAAATTGTTTAAGCATTAAAAACCTCAAATGTTCATCTTTTCGATACAAAGACACTCTTGTGTTGTGGAAATATATTTATATTAAAACGATAATTTTTATTAAAATTATGAAATATCATGGGATTTGAATTGTAAATTTTTGACAAATGCTTTCCATTTTTAAGAGTATTGTAAGGATATATATAGACTCTAGTGAGAGATGGCCTAGTATATGGAATATCATTCGTTTTAAGTGAAATTTACAAAATGATGACCCATATGTGAATGATGTACCAGCAGGAGCAGAACATCTTCAGAAATACTACGTTGTACAATGTTCGGTTCATTATGGATTCTGAATAAGATTCATGTGGCTTTGAAGATTTCCAAAAATCTTTTTCAACCGTGTGAATTTTAGGAAATCTAAAAAATGATAATAAATTCCTATTTAATATTTCCTCAACTTCATTAAACTGAAACCTCTAAAGGTTGATAATGAAAATATTATAAATTCCAACAAATAAATATTTTGAGTTTAAATATATATATATATATATATATGTTATTCTTATCAGTTAAAACCTTGAGCAGAGCTTTGCGGTGTTTAATGTATAATTTGTTGTTGTTATTTTTTCAACGTTCTGATGGAATAATAAACAAAAACAATACTGCGTGCCTTCTAATATTTACGTACAAACGATTTGAGGTTTCCCCACAAAGCGTTTTTTTTCTGTGTCAAACTGTTCTTATCTATAAAACTTGTATTTAATTTGTCTTTTATTAATAAGATGTTTAAAATGAAAACAAAACATATTGCATTTTTAGTGCTAAACTATACGATGGAAAGTAATTTTTGATGTTTTGATGATTTTGGAATTTCGTGTGGAATATCTCAAAATATATATCGGAGACAAATGTAAATTTTAATATTTTTTTAAAAATTGTCCAAATCTCAAATTTGAATCGATCTAGCTATGTGTTCCCGTCCTAATGTATATTATAAACCAGTGTGCGGAGCAGTATAGTCGGACGGGGCCGACCATATGATACCCTACACAACTTCAACGAAAATCTGACTTTCTGTGGTTCTATATTATAAACATGGGCATTATATCGCGATATTTGCACACTTTTGACCGACTAGAGGTCAAAAAATATTATCAATATTCAGTAAATCCCTTCTAATTACTTGTCCAGATTCCCTTCACGGTGGGTTGTGTTATGATGTTCGACTTTCAATTGTGGCCTATATATCGATTCGAAAAAACACAAAAAATAAAGTTTTCGGTCCACTTCATCCCAATATTAGTATCTGATCATCACCGAAAATTATAGGCATTGTCCTTGACCATACCTTGATCCTCATGGAACATTTCAAAGCGATCAGTGCTATATTTCCGCCCTCTAGTATGTTAATGGGTGTAAATAGTTAAGTGTAACTCCCACATCCGAGTACATACGACAATATAGTTCGTATCAATTTAAAGATCAACCACTCCTCTTGGATATACTATAAACTTCTCGGCTCTATGTCTTTCAGGAGTAAATATATAAGGCATAGAATACAAATTTTGTCATTTTTCACACAAAAGTCACGGTTAATTTGACCCGCTAAATTTTGACCGATCTCTATCAAAACAGGCATGCCTATTCTTTGGACCGATCCCCTTCTCCATGTAAAAATTCACCATGTTTGGGCCATAATTGAGGCCTCTAGAGCGAACATAAAATTGGACTAAAATTAAGTATTTGGTCCATTTCATCCCCTAAATATAACCCAATCTTTATCAACAACAACAATAGGTGTCTTCATTGGCCAGAACCCATACTACATGCAAAATTTCTTGAAGATTGGTCAATAACTGTGGCCTGTATCGTGTTTACCAATTATAATGGACAGACAGACGGACAAACACACACATCTAGATCGACTCATATAATCGAGATATGATGATCGGTATACTTAAAATTAGGTCTAGGACCAATATTTCGCGGAGCTGCATAAAGCTACAATACCCTGAGGTATAAGGTATAAAATAAAAATTAGTACTTCATGCCCTGAAGAAATAATTTCCAAATTATAGACACTCAGGTTGGAAATCTTCAACATAGGGCATTTGTAATGGGGTTGTTATAATAATCATATATTGAATAAGAATTCCACAGGCCAAGTTACAGCCACTTTGGTTAAACACATAATAATACTGAAAAATTGCGGGACCTTTTTGTAGGGGATGTATAAAAACTTGGACCTATACATTTTTTTGCAAAAATATTTTTTGACCTAAAATATCACAGAATACCACATTACAGCCTCTACAAAAATGTCGCTAAAATTTCATCATATATGAATCCTTTTATAACAAATTATATCCAAATGCCTGGGAAAATCCTGCCAAAGCCTTCAAAATACCGAAACGTAAGCCTATATTGGCAATTTTGTTAGGAAGATTTGACAACCCAAGATGACCTGAAACAAACAAATTAAAAACGTGACCAATCCCTGTGAATACCGAAATATGGGACTACTATTATTTTTGGTAG